GATTACCCATGGAATTTTTTTTAAAACATTGCTTAGGTGTTTTGTTAGTGTAAGATCATTGATTGCTTTTATTTATTGTTATAGATATGAAAATTTCTTTTGAAGCACCCAAATGAGTCCAAATTCCAAATCAATGCAACAACTATCTTATGGCCCATAATAGAGACAATGGTGGAAGGCTTATAGGCTTTGTGTATTCGAAACATTGAGCTATAGGTTTTGCTTGTTTTATTGAAAATAATTTTTTAAAAATAATTAAAAATAAGACATTTTAATTTTATTTTTTGATATTCTTTGTTGTTTGAATGATCTTGTGAAAAATATTTTCACTTGTTTTGTTTTTTTTTAGAAAATTAGTGTTCCCATCAAAATAATGTTCTTTGCATGATCATTTAAATTGTATTTTTACATTTATCCAAAATAATAATAAATGTTATAAATATAAAATTAAAAATTAAAAATTAAAAATTAAACACAATAAAATCATTATAGTAAGATCCTACAAACTTAGAAGATAATAAAATAGTTTATATATTGTTCTTACATAAAAGATAGTCTTTACAAAAGTTACAAATTATGTTATAGTCTTTACAAAAGTTACAAATTATGTTCATAATAATATAAATTATAGGATTTTATCTAAATAAAATAGTTTTTATGTATACAAAATAGTCAATATTATTCCTTAGACATAATAAACCCACAATAATCATAATTAACCTACACAAGAAAGTGGTTTCCATTCAAATAATATTAACATAACTATTAAAATTTTCAAAATTATTTATTAGTAAAATATTGAAAATATTTATTATTAACATTATTATATATTTGAATAATAACACTTAAAATAAAATTATTTCTTATTATTTATATTAATATTTTAAAATATTTAAAATAACATTACTTTTTTTGAAATATTATTTCTATGAATATAATAATATTTTTAATAATATTATTTATTATTTAAATATTTAAATATTTACATTAAAATGGTTATATTTTATATTGAAATTATTATTTTTAAATTATAACAAATTTAATATTTATTATTAAAATAATATAAAAATTAATTGTCAATGAAATATAAAATAATATATTTTAAATTAAAAATATTTAAAAATGTAAAACATGATTAAAATAGTCATATTATTAAAATAATATTATTATATGAAACAATATTAATTATTAAAATAATAAAAATTATTTACTATATCTGTATTTATTATTAAAATAATAATATAATATAATACTATTTATTATTAAAATATTAAAAATATTTATGTTTAATAATATACAAAATGTAAATATTTAAAATTAGGCACAATGGTAAAAAAAATCCTCAAACAAAAATTTAATAATCATTTAAACTTATGATACTTTGTTGTAATCAATCAAGTCTTAAATTTTTTATTTTGAATCAATTGTATTCATAAACATTTATTTTTATCCAATTGAATCTTTATATTTCTATTTTCATTCAATTAAGATCTTGATTTGACAAAAACAGTTAATTATTTTTCTTCGAATAAGGTTTCAATTGATGAAAATAAATGTTTGAAAGTTTAATTAATTGTAATAAAATAATAAAGGTTTGGATGATAATTGAATTATAGTTTAAGAGTTTTTTTTTACCCTTTTGCCTTAAAATTAAAATATTTGAAAACTTTCAATATTAATATTTTAATATTTTGATTTTTTTAATTAAAATCAAATAAAATTGCTTTAACATAATATTATTTTGGGTAAGATTAAATTAAGTCATAGTTTAAATAATTATATCTGATGTTTGACTTAGATAAAACTATAAAATTATTAAAAAACTTTCAATATTAATATTTTAATTCTTTAATTAAAATTAAAAAAATATATTTTTTAATAAAATAATATTTATGACCATGTCAAATTAAGATTGAATTTAAAAATTTATGCTTAAGGTCCAACTTAAGTTAAAATATACTCACGATAAATGGCCTTATTCATGAACTTGAAAAAAGAAAAACAATTTTCACAAAAATGATGTCATTTTTAATTGATTAATTTATTTTTTGTCAAACAAATATAAAACAAATACAGAAACCATCGCCGGAATTACAATACGAAAGTGGGAAAAAAGAAGGCTATAAGGGCCGCAGCCCGCAGGTAAGAGCTCAATAGAATCGTCCGACTTCCGATAGTTTCGCAAGCTCAAGCGCTATAAACACGCCCTCAACGTATCATTCTTGTTCCCCTCCATTTATCTACTTGGTTTACTTAATGACTCTTACGGCCCTTGAATTATGAACTTTTTTTTTTTTTTTAGTTTCAGTTGAGAACGAGGCCTGATTCTGAAATGCTCTACGCTGCTCTTAGTTGGGTTAATCTGAATAGACTGTTTGCTAAAAGTAAATGCATTTTGTTTATAATCTTTGCTCCCAGTGCGAGATGAGGAAACCATTTATATATAGTTCTCTATTAATTGCTGCTACATTGCAAACAAAGTCATGAAGGCCACTTTCTTTTCTTGACTGATCAATTGAAGAATAAACCCTTACGGTCCCATTATTTCATCTTTTTTTTTTTTTTAAACATGATATATGCCATGATTTACTCATAGTCATGGACATATCTAACTCTTCAATCCCTGCAGAAATTTTGTCAAAAAAGCAGGTGGATACTTGGTGCTAAAAGCATTAGCATGCTTGAAGTTGTTATATATAAAAGCTGAACTACAAAATCTCACCTGACTTTGCCAACCCATTAAAACAACTTCACATGATCACTTTGAAAAGTGCCAAAGTTTTGGACAATCAGTGGTTTATTATTGACAGATTTAGTAACTTCGACCTTACAATTACACACAAATTGATGTTGAAAACTAAACTTGAAGGTGTGTTTGGTTGCTGAATGAAACTAAAAAACTGGTTTACACGTCCGCAAAAAGACCAGCAAAATCAGCAGTCAGTAGTTCACCAACATCATCATCATCACATTTGTTAAAGGTTTACCCTTTAGGATGAAGGCTTTGCCTTAGTAGTTTTTTTTTTTTTTTTTGGTCAGCTGGGGGACCTACTTTCCTAAACCAAACATTTCAAGATGTGGAGGTGAAATGTCAGAGTTGTTGCGGTGGTTAAGAAGAATAAGCATAAGCATAAGCTGCTTGCGTATATTTTGCATGGCTTTTTCGAGATGCCTCAAGTCATGAAATTGTACTCTTAATTGCATATCCATTAATCACACAAACTGCACACAAGAGGAGAAAAGCCTCAAAGATAATAATAAATTAATATATAACTACTACAACAAAATTGGAAGAGGGGTTTACCGAACCCAACCCAAACCCACATCCATACTACTAATCGGCATGACATCCAAATACTGAAATACCCTTGATATTTTTTGTTTCTCTTTTCTATGGAAATATATTATGCAATGCAAATTAAAAAAAAAAAATGATTGTCCCCATAAGAGCTTCTGAAGCCGCGTTATGATAGTTCATGAAGAGGTAAATTTAGTGTGATAGTGTATCCATACATCTACATTTAAAAAGTAATATTAAATAAAATTTAAAATTCAAATCGTATTATTTATAATTCTTACTTCTATTCTTAAACTGTAACTTTTTTTACACCAAAAAAATTGAATGCCGGCTATTGCTAGTTTTAATGGCAAATTAAGTTTCAAATGATGCAATAATTAATTAATTAATATGATTTTTGATATTTGAATTTGAATTACAACTATTTTTCAACTTACAGTTACTATAATTTTGACAGATTAATATGAAAAATGGTGGTCAATGATTTAATGACTTAAATTTGAAAAGGAATAATCCCTTAAATTGTCAACCTACATAGAACTTTAAAATATTACCATTTAAGCTAGGATTGTGAACGAAATGAAAATGAACGAATGAATGTATATCTATGATTCATTCGTTTATATTTAGAGACATTCGAACTCAATTCCTATTCGATAAAAAAAATCACTATATTCATTCGAGTTCGATTCGTTTAAATGATATGATATTTACATTCGGTTTATATTCGATTCAATTAAGTTAAACGAATTCGTTTATAAATTTTAAATTAACATGTTCATGAATATATATAAATGAATATGTTCATAAACAATAAACAAATCATAATTAAATAAATTTAAACAAACAAATCATAAATTAATATAAACAAACTCAAACGAACATAAACAAACCCTAAAATAGGAATATGATAAAAGATAAAAATATAATTTTGTTAGTATTATTATAAACGAATAGCAAACAAACAATAAACGAATAAAAAATGAATGAATTTTAAATAAATTTTAAATGAATTTTTTTTATAAATATAAATAAACCGAATAAATCTCTATTCCTATTTGGTTGGTTTAATAAATGAAAAAAATATTATGTAAAATTATTTATTAAACTTAATAAACGAATAAAAATAAAATATATCATAAACAGTTGGTTAAATATTCTAATCGTTTATACCTTAATTCAAGCTTTCCCAAAAGAAAAAAAAAAGGAAATAAATCTATCAAAAGACTATTATTAAGATTTAAGGTGAAAAATATGAAAAAAATCAACAAAATTATTTCAAAATTTCCTTTTTTTGTTTTGACTTTTGACCAATTACCTCCAAAGTTTACATTAGAATCATGCAATAATTGGGAACTTTTCTAATTTTTTGCAACTAAAAACCAAAAATCACTAATCAGAGGGAAAGTCAAAAAGGGAAAATTAAGAACCGCAGAGATACCAAAAAATACAAATGAATGAAAATTTACGCGTTTAACGCTTAATCTAGTGGCAAATCAAGGTCAATTTACACGCACAATTCCATTTTAGCACATGCACGCTGATTCCAAACGACATCGTTACCGATTCTCTCATTTGAAAGTGGAATGCACGCGCTTTAACGAGAAAGTGAGTTAAACTCTCCATGTGGCTCCTAGGTGGCCGAGGCTCCTATTTTAAATATCGCTTTCTCTCTCAGTCTTTTCCCAACGTAACCCAAAATTTGTAGTTAAGTTGCAGGTTAGAAGTTGGAGCTCCAAATCCTCCCTGTCTCTGTTTCTCTCTCAAAGAAGAAGAAAATAAACTGAGAAGCCATTCTCTCTTTCAGACAATGGCTGCTGGCGTCGAAGATATTGAGGTTGGCTTCAAAGAAGCAAATTCGTGCCTGCCTTCTCATGTTCTCGATGATCAGGCAATATGGGAAACCAAGAAAAAGAAGGTTTTCATCAATATTCGCAGCTAAATCCTTTTTCCTTGTTTTCTTTTTTCATTTTTTTTCAGTCGTTTTACCGAAACATCTGCTGATTGGTTTGCTGTTAATTACAGGATGATGTGAAGCACAATTACCATCGCCATCGTTCAAAGTTGCCTACTGAGCCCTTTCCACCGGTACACAATATTTTTTTATCCTTGCATTTCCTTGTTAAACAAAAAATATAAAGAAACTTGATCGCCATTGATGGAAAACTGTAAAACTTTCTCTCTTCTTTTTTTTTCCTTCTTTTGATGCTGTAATTATGAAACAAGTGGAGAAAAATGTTGGGATTTGGAGAAAATCAAAGAAAATTCAAGAAACCGGGAATTATGGGATGAAAAGCAATCATATGTTGACTTGAAAAGATATTTTACTGGAAATCATATCAACTGAGCCCAGGAATTTCTTAATGGTCATACCAGATTGGGAAATTTTTAGTGATTTATTTTCATTTTTAGTTTCCTTTATCGGAGTGAATATACAGTAGAATTGGGTCTAAAGAGCTTTCCCTCATTTCCAAATAGCAAACACTCCTAATTAGGAAATGATAGTCCTATTGGTTGTACTCTTTTTTTCTTTATATAATTTTGTTGGTAATATTTTATGTTTATCATGATTTTAAATTTTTTATTTTTTTCATTTGTGATTTTTTAATTTATTTCAAAATTTTGTAATGGTGTTTTTCAAATATTTTAAAATCTTGATTTTTTGAATTTCATTTGATTTCGTAATCTTTTGTTTTTGAAATTTTTTCTAATAGATAAAATTTATCACCTAGACTTTAGGTGGAACGTAAATGCTCATATTTTAATGACGTTTTAACAGATATAGCCATTTAAAACAAAATTTTAATGACAACAATTGGATCACAGATTAATTGTCAAATTTACTCTACAAGCAAATTGCAAAATTGATTTCAATTTGTACCAAAATTGTAGGGGTGGTTTGGTGAAAAAAAAGAACTTTTAGGGGTGGTAAAACAAAATTAAAATATTCCTGGGGTCATTAAAGTTGTTGGTTTTGGGCACCTTTTTTATACGTAGTTTATTTCGAGGAAGCTGGTTTTTGGGTGGAGCAAATCGGTGTGGCAAGCTCTATTTTTTATATAATCACAAAGCAAAATGATCTATAAACTCTTCTACTGTTTCTCTTTTTGTGTTTGAGAATCTCATCAAGTTGTAAATATTCATGACTCTATCTTATCACTTTCACCTCATTGATGAATTTGCTTCAAACTAATGGTCTTTCGATTTATTTTCATTTACATGCATATTTAATTTTCTAAAGCACTCAAAGGGTAGCTCGGGACGGCATCAGAAACCAAGATACTCCGGCAACTGGGCATCAGGAGGTGGAATGCAGGCTATTTTCCTAGATTCTGGTAAAAAATCATGCGGGACTGGTGTTTTCCATCCTCAAACGGTTGGCACTAATTTTCAGTCAAGTAGAAAACCAGGTACTGTAACATAAATCCTAGTGATATATAAATAAATTTGGTGATAAATTACTGATATTAAGGTTTGACATTGTTGCATGGTGCAGCTTGCTCTCCGGTTCTCCTCCCTTTCCGAGTTGTTCAAGCTCTCAACCTCAATGTTCATGAATTAGGCCGGCAAATTTCTCCCCGGCGAGGTTTACCAGTAACTTAGGTTTCACTTTGTATTTTTAATACTATTGAACTTGCAGCTAAAACTGGTTTTTGTTCATTTTCATGCAGATCTCAAAAATAACAGTACAAGAAGTGGAGACAAGGGGAAAGATGTATCAACAAAGCGTTGGGTGATTTCCCAAAATGAAAATTCTTCGCCAGAGATATTTCTTCCCGAGGAATGGACGTACTAGCCTATCAAAATTTCAATAGCCAAATTTAGCAGTATTACTATCTGTTACAAACCACACCCCCCAAAAAAAAAATCATAAAGCAAAGCATTAGATTTGCATGATTGTGGTGTTGTCCGCTAACGATAGAATAATGTAACATAAATAATAACAGCACCAAGTCTCGATGTGATTGGTTGTCCTGATTTCAATAAAAATATTTTTCCATTTATTTCTTGCTCATAGAATTTTACATTTTCCTGCAAAAACACTTTTATAAGGGACATGTAGTGTTTGATATGAGCTAATTACTTCAAAAATTATAATGATTTATATATAATGATTAAATTATTATGTTTAATAAGCAATCGATGATTTTACAAGCTAATATTTATTATAATAAATTCAAAATTAATTTATTAATTTTTTTTTACTTTTTAAAATATTTTATATATAATATAATTTTTTATTTTTATTTTATTATCAATTTAATAGATTGGTTTTATTTTTTAATTCAAATATTTTTTACATAATTTATATTATAAAAATCAATTTACCTATCAATAAATATATTTATGAATTTAATAATATTTTATTATAAAATAAATAAATATTAATAATATTTTACAAATTATCATCTTTAAACAATCAAATAATTATTAATTTGTGTAACTATTACAATATGCATATTTATTTTTGTACTTTTAAATAAAATAATTTTGATTTTTTGTAATACTAAAGACACGGTGATCTTTAATTAAGAATTAATAATTATTAATCAAACAAAATTAAAATCACTTTGGTAATAAAATTATCCCATAATTACATTACCATAATGATCTTTCAAATATATCAAACATTATCTTAAAGATATTAATTCAGTTATATGATAGATAAGTAGCTAACTATAGCATATTTATTTATTTATTTATATTTTTAGATTTTGTTTGAATTTAGTTTTTTTGAGTGATTTAAAGATTGTATTTTTTTACATCTATTTGGTGCATTCAAAATTTTATATTTAAAATAATGTTCACAATAACAAAATCCAAATTAACAAAAAAAAAAAAAGAAAAGCTATTCTTTGACTGCTCTTAATTGAAAAATAAAGAGAAATTCTAATTTTGTTATGAAAAATAAAGGAAAATTCTAATTTTTTACCATATTTGAACTAAATTAAATTCATATTATAAAAAAAGAATAAATACAGTAGCACATATTTTGGTTCAATTCATATCCTATATATATACTAATCATAAATCTGTAATTCATTTCTTTCCTTGGCCAAAAAAAAAAATCATAAATCTGTAAAAAAACAAAATTGTAAACTGCGGTAAGAAATAATACTAGCACGATTATTCTCTTCCAATAAAATGCTGTGAGGTAGTTTACTAGAAGGATAGAAAATCCCAATTGGAAAAGAAAAAAAAAAAAAAGGGTTAAAGGAGATATTTTGAGGTTATTTCCTTACGGATTAGCGATTTCTAGTACTAACATTTTTTGATACTCAAAATCCGGTCATTCTTTTGTCTCCCTCTTTCGGTGGACAATGGAAGCAACTCTTCTCGGCTCCCATCGCTTCCTCCCTAGCCTCCTCTCAACAAAACCACTTCAAATTCCAGGTTAGTCTTCCCCTGTTTGGTTCCTTGGAAAACCTAAAAGAAAAAGGAGGCAAAGTTAAATAAAGAAGAGTTAAGCACCGGTTCAAAATTTTGAGAGTTTCTGTCAGTTGGCTGTTTCAGTATGTGGGCATGATTTTACTGATTTTATTTTCAGTTTATTGAAATTGGGCCTTGAGTTCAAAAGGACTTAGTTTACATGCTTATATCATGCTTTTTTATTTAGATTGAGAAATGTGGTTTTGGTGAATTAGAGCTATTTCTTTGTGGATGGTGTTCTAGCTATGAATTTAATTCGTTAATGTGAGTTTCAGTGGAAGTGCTTTTAGTTTTCGGTTTGGATAAACTCAAGGCTTTTAAAAATGTATTCTCTCTGTTTGTTTTAACTATGCTTCATTAGGAACTTTATTTTGCTTGAGTAAAAAAACCATAAAAACTAGTTCAAAAATCGTGGGGGGGGGGGCAGGGGGAGGGAAGAGGTGATGTAGATGTTGAATACAAGCCACAGTATAATTTTGGAGGAAAGGAGAGAAACTTGTCATTCATATCTCAGACATTTTTATCTAGCGTAATGGGAAAGATGCAATGTTAACTTTTTTGTGTTAATGGAGCAATTCTGTGCACAAAATTTTTTACTCTGACTTGGTATGCAGCTGGACATGTGGCTCGTGACCTACGATTTTATCATCCACTCTATGCCAAACTCCACCACACTCTCAAGATGAAATTGGTAAACTGCAGTAGAAGCCATTTTGTGCTGCCAAATAGATGTTTCCAGTCAAAAACAAACAGAAAATGGTCGAGCAATTCTTCAGACCAGCTTCGAAGTGACTATGTAAATGTTGAATCACCATCCTCAGAGTCTCTAAATCTGGAGGTTGTTCCTTCAAGTTCAGATAAGGAGACAGATATTTCCAATTCTAATGGTGTTAATAGCATTGAGACTTCATGTGATAGACCAAAATATTTTAGAAATAGATTTCTAAACTTTGTATGTCTGAGTTCTGTGATGAATAATGCTGCGGAGTCATTCTTTAAGAGTGAGATTCGAAGGAGGCTATTTGTGACAGCTATACTGCTTGTAATTAGTCGTGTTGGGTATTTCATTCCTCTACCTGGATTTGATAGAAGGTTGATACCTCAAGATTACCTTAGCTTTGTCTCTGGGTCTGTTGGTAAGTTTTGTAATCTATAAGAAAAATTTGTACCCTTTTATGCCTTCTAAGCTATTTGGAGTTTTTTTCTGCGTTTTTGGTCAATACTGTTAAATAATTTTTGTCTAAGTTAATGAATGTATGACCTTTCATTTTGCTTTTGGTAGATGACCTGGGTGATTTTTCTGCGGAGCTTAAACTGTCCTTTTTTCAGCTTGGTATCAGCCCTCAGATAATTGCATCTATAATTATGCAGGTTTGTAACTTTTATTTTGGCTATATATGTTTTTTTTTTTTTCTTACATGATTGTGTAACATACATTCCATTTTTGTCCTTTCTTGCTGTGAAATCAGTTTGCCACCCTCTTGGTATATGTTGAAACGGAGATAGATAGATGTTGAGGCTGCTTGTTATGTTCTTTTAAGATGGAATGTTGTATAAATGGCTAAAGGTTATTCCCTTTAATATGAAGCTCACATGAAGTGCCTAGTTATTCTTCTTTTGGCCTGTGTTCTAGAGTTTAGTGGTACATTAGGGTTCTGAAGTTGCTTTCTATTAATTGGAATAACTATTACCTTGTGATTGGATAGAATGTGGGACTAGGAATCTCTTCATATTTTGTGGCATTGTTTGCTCTTGTTTAATGTATTTGTGAATGGTTGTGAATTTTTCTTGTTCATTTGGTCTTGGTGACTAATGTCTATGATCTCTATAGACATATTTGTTAACTTAGGTTCAAGAAGGAAAAAAATGGATGTGCTTTTCCTTGCCAAGAGAAAGATACCCAATAGAGTCTTTGCTTGGCCTAAATTTTTTTTGTTTTAGGGATTCTTTTATGTTTGGTGTATCCTTATGTGGATTCTCATGAACTGGTTGAAAACAGGTACTCTGTCATGTTGTTCCATCCTTAGTTAAGTTGAGGAAGGAAGGATTGGATGGCCACGAGAAGATAAAGAGTTATATGTGTGTCTAGTTTTTCATCTCAAGCAGTGAGAGGAGCCCTTGCTACATAATTTTACATGTATAATTCTTGATAAAACTTGGCCATTTATAAAGCATGTTATTTTTCTTTCTATTGCAGATGGTGGATTTCACTTGGCTTTGCAATATTAGAAGCTGTTATAGTTGCTTGTTATTCTCTTCCATATTCAATTTATGCAGCCAGTTACAGGTACTTTAGCAATATAAACATGATCAACAGTCTTCTGATTTTATTGTTTCTTGCAAGAAATTGGCAGGATATGAGACATATTCAGCCTTTCCTGGAATAATTTACATGTAATCAATGTCAAATCCATTTTTGCACTAGTGCGCGACCCATTTTTTCCATCCATATGTTATGTTTTAGCCTTTATTTGTTAATTAAAGTCTATGGTTTTTCAGGGTCAAGCATGTGATGGTGACTGCTTTTCTATTGGTTTGTGGTGCAATGACTATGACATGGATCTGTGATACAATATCAGAATCCGGATTTGGTATCATTCTTAATATATTTACTCATTATTTCTTATACCTGCAAATTGTTATGGACAAGTTTTTTAATTTTATGATAGTATGAACAACCGGCCAAATAAATGTACAGCTAGTGGTTCTTTTCTCTTGAATTTATATTGAGAGAGCTCTGAAAATAGAGCTTGAAGCAAAAAGGTTTATAGGATGTGGGAAGACCTTACCTTGGATTGGACGAAATTATGGGAAATAGTGATAATTTTCTTATTGTAAATTATAATGCGTTCGACTTGAGATAGGGGAAAAATATGCTTCTATCTAAGATTTTTATAATGCCTATGATGCAAGCTGTAATTACATATTCTCATTTTGAAACTCCATCTTTTCTGAATATATATAATTTCCACCTACTATGTTTTGGCATATATTAGAATGGCTGCCATAGGATAGTTGGATTGCCTCTAAAAGCTTTGTGCTCCCCAGTACTGGAAACATTTATTTTATGTCATTAGCTGTGCAAAAGATGGAAACTCTTTTCTAGGGATAAGGGTAATATGGTCCACTATTAGTTCATCTTGTAACATCTGCATTTTTAACTCTTAAGGAAATGTCTTTGTTAAGTTTAACTTATAACACCAATTTATTCCATGTATTTGTCAAAATTTTATGAGGCCTTTTTAGCCCTTTGGTTCATAATGTCCATATCAAAGCAACAAATTGCTGGCAGAGTAACTTACTTTCTAGCTCCTGTTAACCATCAAATCAACATTTTATCATCACTATGACTAGAAAATGAGTTTTGATTTTAGAACTTGTAGATTATATCTCAAACAGAAGAAATTCATCAAAAGTTTCAGCTTCTTATGGTGCTGGTTTCGGCCTTTCAGCTTGTTCAAATTCAAGAATGGATGCCTGTTTTCTTGCATTTTGAAAGTGATGAAGTTGCTTATTACTTCAATGTTTGAGTATTGGTAGCCTTCTTAATTGACTGCTTGTGCATGTTTCAGGTCAAGGTTCGTCTCTAATTATATGTGTTGGAATATTAACCGGGTACACTGATACACTATACAAGATGTTGACTCAGCTCTCAGGTATGCCATATGTGCTGAGTGAGGACTTACTAATGTTTTAGTTGGGTGGAGCTTTTGTCGCAATTGTAATTCTTTAGTTTGAAAACTGTTGATGTTTTAAAAGTATGAAATGATTACAGGATTTCTCTTTTCCATGCAAAATTCTGAGTAGTTTTAACTAAAAATATCTCAAGCAATTATTAATTAACAAATTAAGCTTTGACTAGGTGGGCAGCCTGTCGTTGCTGTACCAGAATTTGATTTCAGTGTAAAGAGTACATTCAGTAAATATTGTCAAGGAAGTAATCCTATATGTGGGCTAGAGGAAAGTAAAATGAAAATTGTACCTGTGCACCAGTCTTTTAATGATTGTTGCTCTACTACAATGTAAAAACTGCCAATGTTCTTGGTTTTCTGTAGATGTGGACATCAACAGAGCATGTAAACTATGAATTTTTTGAAAATTTTCTTGGTTTTCTGTAATTTTTTTCTTAATTTTTCAGTGTTCAACATTGTTGTTTTCTTTTTTTTTTTTTTTCAGGGAGTGCTGTGAGTTGGTGGCCATACATGCTTGCTGTACTGGGTGTTTTTACTGTAGTCACAATGTGGGCAGTTGTTGTAACTGAGGGTTGCAGGAAAATAAAGCTGCAGTACTATGGATTTAAACTAGCATCTTCGGCAAGGTAATGCCAGTGTTACTCCCTAGACATTAGATGCATTCTGTGGAAAGACAGAGGCTTTGGTTTCGATTCTTCTCGGTATAACATAGATATTATATATTGTGGCTAATCTGAGCAGTGAGCAATGACTGATTTTATATAAGCTAGGACTATAATTGAATTTATTTCAGGAGATTTGTAACTTTTGCTGTTCATTTATTAACTAATAATAAATGGTCATATAATCTTTTTCAGTGCCACTTTTTCTTATTTTGTGTTTTGGACAGGGATGATTCCCCAATAACTGAAGTAGAACCCTATATTCCTTTTAATATTAATCCGTCAGGAATGCAGCCTGTTCTCACCACCACTTATCTCTTGGCATTTCCAAGTATTGTTGCTAGGTAATTTGCCCAGAAGTGATTTAAATACTTATTATGAATCCTTTGTTCTATTTGCATTTCAGTGTAATATTCCTTTGATGCATTAAATTAGCATGGGTTTGTTAATTGTCCTATCCTATTTACTTACCTTAAGGCTATCTATTGTTGAATGCCCAGCAATTATCTAACACACAACACTCTTGACAGTATCCTTGGTTCGCCTTTTTGGGAGCATGTTAAGGAGATATTGAACCCTGGAACATCCATTGGTGCAGAGCCATGGGTTTACTATTCAATATATGCGTTTTTTGTTTTTTTGTTCAATATATTTGATATTGTAAGTACTTTTGAACCTTGATGATTTTAAGTTTCTGATGATAATCTGCTTATTGTCTGCTGTTGCAAGCAAATTGCTTTTCTTGCCATGTTATCTTCCTTCTGGCTATTGCTTACTTGCTGGGGTATCTTAATGCCAATAGAAAATGAACCACGGTTATCTTTACTTTTTATACTTGATTTTGCTTTATTATTTGTTTAAGATGATGAGAAATATTAGTTACTTAAGGAAAACTACAGAAGTGGCTAATACTGGCAGGGCTTGAACTTTAAGCTTTTGTTTTTTCTTTTGAAATATGAACTTTAAGCTTTGGTCCGCTGTCTTATACACTTTTTTCTACTATTTGTATGCAATTGAACTAAACTTTGAAATGTACTAATCAATGCATGAATTTGTTTATATGATGTGTTTGTCTGAAGAATCATATAATTTTTCTCCTAGTAACTTATTCTGGTACTTATTGCTTTTTTCTGTTTGATATTTGTGTGTAAACTCCTGTGCAGGCCAACTTGCCGAAGGAAATAGCAGATTACCTGAATAAGATGGGTGCCAGGATACCAAATATAAAGCCTGGGAAGGCTACTATTGAATATCTCTCAAAGATTCAGGCATCAACACGTTTTTGGGGTAAGTTTCTGTCTGAAAAATAAGTACAGTATGGAGTTGAAAGCTTACACCATTGTCAGGGCTATATGTTGAACCCACTTCCCATTTCTTGTGGGATTTTGGCTGTTTTTTGCCATCACATCTGCAGGAGGGCTACTGTTAAGTATTTTGGCAACTACATCAACCGTACTTGATCATTACTTGCGACATATCAATGAGGGATTTGCAATTGGGTTTACATCAATTTTAATAATTGTAAGTGCAATTCTAAAGGCTTGTTTGTAGATGCACTGATGCTCAGTTTTATAACATTTTTTAGAGCACTTGATAGGAGACCAAACCATTAAAGCGATCTCAGTAAATATCACCTATGAAATACTGTTCTTTTTGAGTGATTAGAGTGTACTGTTTTGCATTTCATCTAACGCATTGCTCCATTTTGATTAGGTGGGTTCCATAATTGAGCTAAGAAGATCCTACCAAGCATATAATGTCATGCCAAGTTTAAGCAAAGCTCTAAGGCGATATGGGGTGTAACATTTCAAGAGGCTCTTCACATCCTTGGAGGTATTACTTTATTTTATTTTTACCTTAACATGTAATTCATGCTTCATACTGGCAAATTATTAGGAAAATATTACTCCAGTGGTGCAGAGATCCACCGCAAGATATTGGTATTGAGTTGTTATGTGGTAGCTTTGAGTTAAATTCTGGGTTCAACGTGAGAACAATTTTGTTAATACAGTTTGGTTGAGTTGCTGCTGCTGCTGCTTTTGGGGAGTAAAAGATGAAAAGCCTAACTTGATTTTTTAGTTAATCATCTCACTTCGCAAGCAGGTTCTTATTCTTCTGAATCCTCATTTCTGGATTTGGACATGGCTTCTCTACTCTGTGAGAAGTGGATTTTAGTTTTGAGTTGTTGTAATACGGTTAGTGGATGTATATACACAACAGGTGAAGCATGTTTCCGCAGGAAGGGATGTGATATCTCCCGATTTCTATAGATTTGAGGTGTAGATGGATGTAAGTTGTAAGGTAAGGCAATTTGACGTTGGATTCCCGGTCGAGAATACGCATGGTTGTGATTGATAGCCGAAGGGGGTGTAATTTTTGTTTCATTTATCCATCTAAACACACACCACTAATTCATGAGAGAGTATGAATTCCTGATCATTTACGCTTACATGCCCAGTGGCCTATATTTTTTATGATCTCTCAAGATTAAGATTTGTTTGATTAATTTTTTTTTTAATAATAGAAAGGAAAAAGTAATTTTTTTTAAAAAGTAGTTTAAATTGAATAAATATGTTAAAATATATAATTGAAACACATTATAGTAGTCTTATAGTTGTACGTATAAATTTATGTTTTTGTAATTACACATTTTACATTTTAATCTCAATTTATTGGATCAAATTTAAGATTTTAAAAAATGTAAACACGTGGTTATAGTGTTCATAATTCGGTTAAAATTGAATTAATTGATCTTGATTTAATTTAGTTAATTAATTGGTTATTAAAATTTAAAGTTGCTTTTCGGTTAATTTGATTTAAAAATTAAATTAATTAATTAATTGAATTAATTACAATATTATAAAATTTATATATAAAATAAATATTATATAAAATTATTTATTTCATTTTACGTTATTAGAGTTTTTAATTTAATATTTTAATATTTTTGTTAAATAATTTTATTTAATATATTTAACATGTAAGAAATAAAATCTAAAATATAATATAATATAATATATTTTATTATTTTATTAATAAAAAAGTAATCATTAATTGAATTAATTTTAATCAATTAATTTTTAAAATTAAAATTTTAATTTAATTGATAAAAATAAAATAAATAATTTAATTAATTTAATTTTAAATAATTCAATTGAAAATTAATGAAACAAATCGAATTAATACCTCCGCTCGTTATATCTTCACAGTAGCGGAGGCTAGGGCAGTCTAGTTCTTCTGCAGTTAGATAAAAAGCAAGTGACGTGGATCACGGGGATTGATTGTCATTTGTCACTTTTCACTCTTATAGTCGTACTCCGTGCCGGTTTGTTCTTATCCCGCCCAAACTTCTATTCAAATAATAAACCTCATCCGCTCAAAAGATTTCAAGCAACCCAAACACCGGAAAAAAATGGAATTGTCGAAAGGAAAAGGAAGCTCGGAGATTGAGTTCACGGAGGTCGAGACAACCGCTGAGTTCCTGGATGGCTCTGTCATCTTCCACGTCGTCAAGGACGCCATTGGTTTCGTTCTCTACATGCACCAGCAAATCCCTTCGTATGTTCTCGCTTTTTCCTTTACTAGCAAATTAAAAAAAAAAAAAAACTCATAAATTTCTCTATCTTTCTGCATAAATGTTTATCGAATTGGTGACATTGGAGGTTTCTGTTTTATTTTCTTAACATTATATTTATTTTTATAAATTTCTTGATAACATCAATTACTTTATATATATCCAGCATTTTGCAAGACATCAGTCTTGAATTCGATTCGATGCATACTGAATATAAAGAATTGGTATGTTAGCGTTGTTGTTTCAATGATTTGCTTTTGTTTAGTATTTTATCTTGTCTTTTTTTTATTATTATTTTTGGACCCTAAGAATTGTCAGTTTTAGGAGATGGATCTTACAAAAACAGAGGCGAAGGCATCTTTGCGACAAAAGCACATTGGCAGAATGAGAGAGGTTAAGCAAGGGATCAGAAGGATGGAAAAGTTTATGAGTACAATTTCAAGTCTTCAAACTGCATTTCAACTGATGATAAGCGAGATCCCCAACATCCATGAGGTTATTTTGGTCCTTGGGTCAAATCCAATTCGACCTCAGCACGTTTATCACATGTATTTTTCACATGCAAATCCTGCTCCTTCTGCTGAAGCTGATTTCATGAAAGGCAGGACAGCAGAAGGTCTTTCAAGGAAGGTAGCTTATGATGCTGTTTCTACTTCAATTTTAAATCGCACGTTTTTTGAGATATGTAATGATTTATTCTGTTTAACAGGCTATTAGGGCATTGATCTCAAAAGGTGCAGGTTCCAGTTCCTATCCAGGTAGTTACTCCAAACATTTTTGTTGTTAATGCCAATGACTCTGTGGAAGTCAAGTTGATGATTTTCTGTTATCTTTATTTTTTAGGCCCTACTAAGTTGTTTCTAATGGTTAAAGCTCCCACCTCATTCAGTCTGCCTTTGCATTTTCTTCCAAAACGTGACTTCAGATACAGCAAAAAGGTACAGATGTAGTTAAACAATTGTGCACCCATAATTGGACCTTTTATTTACATCTTGAGATCATATATGAATCTTAATAAATTATAATTTAAAGAATTGTTTACACACTACTGGTGGGTCTATGCATGTTTATTACCACTTTTATTTTGTAATCAGTAATTTTAATGCAATTTTGCTTTCCAGATTGTGCCTTTCAGACTACGGTTTAGATGTAGAACCCAAGGTTTGCAAATGGATGCTCCTGATCATGGTCCGCAGTCTGGCAGATCAACTGGTTTGATAGATTCTTCGGATGATCTCATCTGGTATGCGGATTGATATCTTGAGCGCTTCTAACTATTTACTTAAAGTCATAGTTGCTGTCAAGTGCCGTAGTTCAGATGAAACCTTTTATTATATTCCCCTTTTATAGGTAATAAACCTTGTTGTAAAACACTATAAACACGGGGAAGTTTAATGTACGTTAAAGTGGCAACTCCAGATGGTCCAATCTTTGAAATAAAGTTTTGACCTATTAATCTGAATTGGGAGACTGATTAGTAATTATTATCGTAGTCCAAGACCATGACTGTCATCCTAGTTATGGTTTTTGGCTGACTTCCAAGTTTCCCACTTTGACATTGAGAACATAGTCTTTCTTAACTCTCCAGCTGTAAGTTTAGGTTATACTTTTCTAGTTCAGGCATGCATAAAGTGATCATTACCACATATGGTTATTGGCAAACTAAGGTGCAGCGTAGCCACATCGGAAGATGTTAAGTGGGTATCAGTGTTTGTGTCAATGTTGTTTTTGGTACATTCACAAGAAAACTTTGCAGCTGATTGGCTTGCTGAAGCTGGCACTTCTTGGAAGCCAGTGTTACGTAATCAAATTATTCTAGAGGATTTCACTGTGTATGCACTTAAGGTTGTCCAAACCTTGCTTTTACCTATATCATTCTTTACAGGTTTCAATGTCGGCATGCAATAAAGGGCATAGCCTTCAAGACATCAGAAGAAGAATAAGAAGGTTCATCTTCCCATGATGAAAGTTTTGTCTTCTTGCCTCTTTAGCTGGTTCCATCTCATTAATAGGCTCGTTATACTTTTTCATACTTGTAGATGCAAGAGTTCGTGCATATTGATAAATAAAGCTGCAAGTTTAATAGCTGTGGTTACAAGTGGCCAGTAATTAGCACTCATCTTTATCTGCTAACCTGCATTCTGATTTACGACTTCAACCTGTGTATCACTGTGTAACTGAATCGACTTTATTTTGTAGCTACCAAGAATCTACAGAGCATTAACCATAGAGTTTGGCTTAGGCATTAATTAACTTGAACTGCAACTGTGCAAGGTTTTTTTTTTTTGGAAATATTTCATCTATTGTTAGTGTAGTTTTCAGACTACACAAGTAGAAATAGGAAAGTGACATATCTCTTAGAATATATTTTAAAAAAATAAAAAATTTAATTAAAAAATAAATATAATGTGTTAATCTCTTAAATCCTTGTGTAATTAAAAGATTATATGTGTATCAAATATTAATTTTGTTTAGTTGAAGTGTCAGGATTTAAATTTTAGTGACTAAACCTAAAAATACAGGACTCTCACACTGCAGGACTGTTGGTAATTTGTTTCAGCGTTTGGATAAAATAAATGATGCATTTTTCTCTTTGTTAAAAGGGTTAAAGCCTAGAAAGAACAGCTTTAAACGTTTGTGAAAGAGGATATTGAAGAGTGAAGACAATGACAATCAAACCTAATCCACAACTCTCAAATTTAGAAGGTTTTAATTTAGGTTAGAAAAATGGTAACAGTCCGAAAATATATTGTTTTATTTTCCTTTCTTCCTTTATGGAATTTTGAACCTCCAATCGAACCTTTGGGTTACATCTTACATGACTCGGAAGTCAAAGGGCCTGGCGCCCCAGGCCCAAGGCTGAAGTTTGTGAACGTATATATCGGGTCAGGCTAATAATTGGTCCACTGCAATGTTCTGTTCTGGGAAGTGAGCGAGAAAAAGGAAAGAGGGCGGTTCTTCTAGCAACTAGCAAGATCAACAATTAGTGAAACACCCACCAAGCCTAAAGTGAATGAACTCTCTCTCACCATTCTTCTTTCTCCAACGTCTAAACCTTAAACCCTACCATCTCTGAATCCATATAAATCCATAAGCATCTCTTGAAACAAATCAGAACCCAGAAAAATACTATGAAGTTCCAAATCGAAGACGTCACGGTCTACTTTCCCTATGACGACATCTACCCGGAACAATACTCTTACATGATCGAACTAAAAATAGCCTTAGACGCCAAAGGCCATTGCCTTCTCGAAATGCCCACTGGCACCGACAAAACCATCGCCTTACTCTCTCTCATCACCAGCTACTCTCTTTCCAAACCCCAAAGCCCAGCTCATTTACTGTACCCGCATTGTACATGAGATGGAAAAAACCTTGGCAGAATTAAAGCTTTTGCACAATTACCAGATTAAGCATTTGGGTTCTCAAGCTAGGATTCTTGCGATTAGGCTTTCTTCGAGGAAGAATTTGTGCGTCAACCCAACGGTTTTAGCGGAGGAGAATCGGGATTCGGTGGATGCCGGGTGTAGGAAGCTGACAGCGAGTTGGATTCGAGCCATGGCGGCGGAGAATCCCAATGTACCTATGTGTCAGTTTTTTGAGAATTATGAGAAGGCCGCTTCTGCTGCCGTGTTGTCACCCGGCGTTTATACCCTTCAGGTATTCTTTTTTTTTAATTGATAAATGTATGATATGAGTTTCAAGGTTCAATTGTGAACTGAGTTTTGTGGTTTATTTAGGTACCGTTTAGTTGTTTGCTTCCTGAAGTAGAAAGCAAAAAAGCAAAACAATAAAAAAAGAAAAAAAAAACTTTTGAAGAGTTAAAAGTACAGAAAAATTTTTTTTTTATGTAAAACCAATTATGTTATAACTGATGTTACATTTTATAGTCTCTGTTTTTGGCACTGTTTTTGTTGGATTTGAGGGCGTTTCGGACGGAGAAAGGGTGGTTTCCGTACATTTTGGCAGGACATATGGTACAATTTGTAAAGGTGGTTGTTTATAACTATCAGTATTTGCTTGATCCTAAGGTGGATGGGATTATATCGAAGGAAATGCAGAAGAGTCTGTTGTGGTGTTTGATGAGGCGCATAATATTGACAATTTGTGTGTTGAAGCACTACGTGTTGGTGTTAGGAGACAGACACTTGAAGGAGCTACAAGGAATCTTTATAGGATAAGCCAAGAGATTGATATGTATGTATTTTTCTTTGGATAACATTTTATTTCATCTGTAAAATTTCGCATTTTAATTGAAATTAGAGGGTGAAACTGATAGGTAGGAGACTAGAACTTGTGAAGTTTAAGGTTTCAGGAGTTAATGCAGTCAATCTTTTTCATTGCCTTAATATCCAAATACCTCAATTAGTTCTCTGTAATTTCTTAGGAGCAATCTTCGGATTAGTTCTTGAGGAGTATTTCATCCCTTAATTTCTGAAAATGAAATTTTATTTATGTTCATTTCAAGTTATATCATGGTAGGAAGGTTCAAGGCCACTGATGCAAGCAGACTGCGTGCTGAATACAACCAGCTTGTAGAGGGTTTGGCACTAAGAGGAAGCCTACCTAGTATGTGGAATAGAATCCTTTTTTTGCGAAATGTTTTTATCATTATTCCTTTGGTTTGATGATAGTCCCAGATCATGAACTTTACTCTCTTCTCTTTTGCAGTCACTGACAACTGGTTTTCAAATCCTGCCTTGCCTGATGATATTCTAAAGGAAGCTGTGCCTGGAAATATCTGTCGAGCTGAGCACTTTTTGCATGTTCTACATAGATTGGTTCAGTATCTGAGAGGGAGACTAGATATTGAGAATTTTGAGAAAGAAAGCCCAGTTGGCTTTGTTGCCTCTATCAGTAGTCATGCTGGAATTAACCAGAAAACATTAAATTTTTGTTATGACCGTCTGCATTCACTCATGTTGACTCTAGAAATAACTGACACAGATGAGTTCTTACACATCCAAACAATATGTGACTTTGCAACTCTTGTAGGTACTTATGGTTGTGGATTTTCAATCATTATTGAACCTTTTGATGAAAGACTGCCACATATTCCAGATCCTGTCTTGCAGGTTGGTCTTTGTCATTTTTTTTTCTTTTCTGAATTAATGATTTTTCAGTATGTTGACAAACTTACATAACTCTGGAAACAACATACAGGTTTTGTTCCCACCATGAACATGTCCCTGTGATATTATCCCAAATCACTATTTTTATCGGGACCTTATGTTTGGAAGCTTTACTCTATATTGTTTTGTAAGAGAAGAAAATGAAGATAAATTTTCATTCTTGTTAATCTATGTGTATAGGATCTCTAATTTTCATGATATCTATCTGTCTGAGGTGGTCATGTAGATGGTTTGTCTTCCATGTTGACATTCATTGTATGCCTTTGTTTCACACCGAGATCTAATTTTATGGTTTTGTCCAGTGCTTGCATACAAATGACTCCTACTAATTTTTCTCAGTTACAATATCATTAATATATGATATTATTTTCTTCTTTTTCATTTACTAATCTTCATGATTTGGCATTTCAGCTTAGCTGTCATGGTGCTTCGCTTGCCATAAAACCTGTGTTTGACTGATTCCAATCAGTTGTTATTACATCTGGCACACTTAGCCCAATTGATCTGTACCCTCGCCTTCGTAATTTCATCCTGTTGTTAGTCGTAGCTTTACAATGTCCTTGACAAGAGATCGCATATGTCCGATGGTTCTCACTTGTGGAAGGTAGGCAGATTATAATCTTTTCCCTTTGCTTATGAAAACTTACAAGTTTGTAACTTATAAGATATTTAGCCTTATAAATATAGTCATTTTGTGTCAATTACCATTTGAGTTGTTCTTGCAGTGATCAACTTCCTGTTAGTACTAAATTTGACATGAGAAATGATCCTGGTGTTGTGAGGAATTATGGAAAGCTCTTGTTGGAGATGGTCTCTGTTGTCCCTGATGGAATTGTCTGTTTTTTTGTCAGTTATTCATACATGGATGGAATTATTAACACTTGGAATGATAGTGGAATTCTGAAGGTGAGGATCTTTTGGGCTCTCTGGTTATCAACTATGCAAAGAACTTGGGCATCTCTCACTCCCTTCTGGTCTCTGCCCTTCTTTCTTTTCTTTCCTTTTATTTTTCCCTAGCCTCGTATATGTAGGACTGGTTAACTTGCTTGAGAATAACATTATCCTTATACTGGAAGCAGATGTATATCGTTTTCCTGATGAAATGTTATTAATCCATTTCTTGTAGGAAATAATGTAACATAAGCTTGTCTTCACTGAGACGCAAGATGTTGTAGAAACCACGTTGGCTCCAGACAATTATTGCAGGGCTTGTGACTGTGGAAGAGGTGCGGTTTTTTTTTTTTTTTCTGTTGCCAGGTACTATTGTTGATGACATGTATAATTTTGAATTTGTTAGCAGAGCATGCAATTGGATTACATCTGTGGTGTCAGTTAGACAGGATCACAGGCTTATATTTGTTAGATTGTGGCCATTCTAAGTTGTTTCTGTCTTTGCTGCGAAATAACCAAAAGCAGTTGTCTTTATCATTTTGTCGTCATGCTAGTAGTTTATTTAGTAAAGAGAGGTGACGTGACCTATTACATTCTAATGAAATCACCTGAATTGCTTATATGTTACGGTGGAATGGTTGCTGAAGGTATAGATTTTGATTGACATTATGGAAGACTAGTAATCATGTTTCGTGTTCCTTTCCAGTATACATTGAGCATGTGAGTTTCTTCGAATTAATTAATTACCTTTCCAGTTTGCCTATTGCACTTTTAGGCATAGGCAACCTATGGGTACAGTAGGTTTATAGTAATGAAGTTACCGTAAGTTACATTTTCTATGTCTGCACGTCAATGAACTTGAGTTTCATCTCAGAATATTGCTGGTAAGGTTGGAGTACTTACGAGACACATTCCAGATAAAGGAAGGGGATTTTCTTACTTTTGATGCCTTTGTATGATTCTACATCCATCTTTGTCATGAAAGAAACTTGCTTTTTCTTGACCGTGTGACTCTGTTAAGCAGAGGCAAGCTGCACAATGTGTGGGCCTAGTTATCCGTTCAAAGGCTGATTATGGGATGATGATATTTGCAGATAAAAGTTATATATATCTCTTTATTTTTTCCAGTATATTGAAATTAGAAGTTCTCTCCTTGAGCTAGAAGCATTGCCTTTTTCAATTAGCTGCAAATCACTTGAACTAATAGTTGTTATTGTCAGTCATACTAAAGCTTAACTAGGGTTCTGTAGGATAACCGGCTTGAGCCGTTTTAGACTTCTTATTCTTAGTCCATATTTTGGTTGATAAAGTCATGGCATGAAAATTTCCCACTTTAATACTCAACTTGCCTTCCGAGTTAGTAGTTGGATGCAGGTATAGCGGACATGACAGGCGTTCAAAATTACCAAGTTGGATACTGTCTCACTTACGAGATGCAAACCTGAATTTGAGCGCTGACATGGCTCTACATATAGCAAGAGAGGCGTGACCTTTTATTTTTTATTCAGTATTTTGTTAGCACTTTGGAGACAGATAAATTTCTTCTATACTATAACATAGTTATAAACAGATATATATTTGAGGTTTGCTCTGACTGTTGCAAATCTTGTATAGATCCTAGTTTCCTGGAGAAGGTAGAAATCTTGTTTTGATTTTTCTTTGTTTACGATGAGGCAGAGTATTAATATTCCTAATATTTAAATATCAAATTACCATATTAGAAATTAACAAGCTACAAATTTCATATCTGATCGAGGTTTAAACATGTTTGGCGTCCAAACTTCTTTGCGGCTGCAGTTCCTAAGAAAATGGCTCAACCGTATGACAAGACCTGTTGAAGTGATAATAAGACTTTACCGTCACAAGAAGATTTGCGATGGAAACATGCATGAAATGTTGTATTAAGGATGCTTCTGGTCGATCAAAACCAGGAAGAAATTGAAAAAGAAAAGATCTCTCTCTGCCATCAACAAGTTCTGAGTCCACTTTGTATATCCATTATGCTTACTTCGATTTTATTGCCAAAAAACCCAAAACTTAGAATCGAGGTATTATTTGATTTATTGCCGCCTTCACCTCCATTATGCTTACTTTCTTCCCCTTCTCACGATCCTTCACCTGCCACATTCAACTGTAAGTCAAGTCTTCCCTAAATAAATCATGAAAAATTAACATTAATTAATTGGTATAGTGCAAGATTTACCTTGGCTCTCAACTCAGCTACAAACACCCCATTGTTCAAACAAGACTGAACCGCCGTTATCTCAATCCGAAGCTGTTCTCTTAACATCTGCATTATATCAAGCAACAACCCTTCCCTATACCCGCATTGCAACTCCAACAACGCGTCGCTTTCTATTATCGACACCTCCACCGACGTCTCCACCGTTGCTTGGGGCGGCGACTCCGCCGTCTTCGGCTTAGTTCCACCGTCATTACCTTCCACAATTCTCATCTTCCTTTTATCCGGCCCTGGTCCCGGGCCCAATGATCGTGTCCGCTCTGACACCGTTACCCCATTCCTCTGATCCTTCAAACTACTCGGTCTCTGCAGTGAATCAGCTGATCTCGACCGTTCGTTTTCAGCTTCCATTCGTCTGTTTTGTGTTTCGAGTTCTTGAATCTTTTTACGTAACTGTTTCACGTACTCTATGGTATCCCCGAGTATGGAAGCTTTATCCATTTTGGTAACAAACGGAACCAACGATCTTAGTATAAAGAACCGCTCGTTGAGCTTCTCGCGTCGTCGCCTCTCTGCCAGCACGTGGTTGGCGCTGAGCTCGTCCTGAGGAGTTCCCTTGCGGAACCGAGCGGCTGCGTCGGTGTCACGTGACTTGGGGGAGTTCTCGTCGCGGTATTTGCCGTGGAGGAATGGTACGGTAAATAGAATGTACTTGAGGAGCCATTGGGACATGCCTTCGACGGCCACGTGGATGTGGTGGTCTGAACGGGTTGTCCACTTGGCAAATGCTGATTGGGTGGAGTAGGTGGCATAGCCGGTTGAGGATGACTCGGCCCAGCGGGTTGGTTGGCCTTGGAGGATGGTGGAGACGGTCTGAGAATAGTGGGTATCTTCTCGTGACAGTTCATCCAAGGGCTGGGGCCCTACAAAATGCTCAAAAATTAAACCCAAATTGCAAATGATTAAACTAAACGAGAAGAAAAAGCAAGGTTTTTTCTTGATCAGTATTAATATCAATAGTAACAAGATTGATTGATAACATCAATGGATAATGCAGTAGGGAAGAAGAAAGGTTTTATGGGACAAAATAATTAAGGCGCTTTTGTCAACCATAACCAATGAATCAGTATTGTAAGGGTTGGTTGAAGGAAAAGCAAGGTTTTTTCTTGATTACTATTAATATCAACAGTAATAAGATCAAGTGATAACATCAATGGATAATGTAGTAGGTAAGAAGCGAGGTTTTATGGCATAAAATAATACTGGCGCTTTTGTCAACCATAACCAATGGATCATGTATTGTACAGGTTAGTTCAAAAAAAGAGATTTGGCAGTTGCAAGAAATATAAGCCACTGAGGCAGAACCCAATGCCAGGTTTTTCTCAGTACGCTGAGTTTACAGGCAGACCTCGATTCTGGTCAAAGCCTCAAGGCTCAATCCAACGAACAACCGGATCCCTAGGATCAGAGAGTTCCAAGACTCTTAAAAAAAGGCTATTCTGACCCACACCCCATCCCCCACATGCCCGACAGGGGACCACACTGGGAACTTAATCAAGGAGGGTAAATTCTGTGCGGTAAAAATTAATTTCTGCGAAGGCCATGTGCATGGCCTTGCATGGACAGAGGCATACAGTTTCAATGTCATCGTCAAGGGATATGTTGATCGATTTTGGTCCACATGTAGAAACCAATTTTTTATCGGCTTTGATCCCCCTAATCCTGTTCCACAACTAAGATTTTGTACTAGATTTCTCCTAATTTCCTGACAATGCGTTAAAAAATTTATAGAGCTCAACTACCAGTATTTTTTACCTGAAGAAGTTGGTTGAAAGTTATTGCTCATTGGTTCCTGTAGCATTTGCCACCTCCTACTCGTCTCGGCTCTAAACGAGTCGGCTCGCCTCTGCTGGTCGGCTTGCTTCCCGCTTTGACTCACTGCTAGCATGTGAAAATCTGAGTCCAAGTTATTTGATGCGTCGTCTGGTGACCCTAGCCTAATATCTTCCGACATATCCAACTGCATTAGTTCGCTTGGCTCGCCTGCGGCTGCTACTGCTGCTTGAGTGATTTGCGCGGGGACTTGGCTGCTGTTTCGACCCGTTTCAGCGGAGTCTGATTCGGGTTCTTCTTCGTCATCATCATCATTTTCTTCTTCTACTTCTTCCTCATCATCGTCTTCTTGGTTATCGTTTACTGGAGGGTCTCCAGCGGCGTACATGGGAGGAAGGGAAGAAGAGTGGAAGCGGGTGTGGTCCGAGGAGGTGGCGGGGTTTGAGGTGGAGTGTTCGGAGAGAGCAGGTTTTGGTGGGGGAGGGTTTGCGTTATGACTTTGATCACTGAAGAAGGTTTTGACACGTTGGACTAACCCTAGATTCTCTTGGACCTGAAATACGACCAGTTGCTATCTGCTGTCAGCATATTGAACATATTCATGATCAACATTTTTTCTTCTAGTGAAACGAAAAGGCAACTCTAATTACCTTCTCCGTGGTGCCAAGTTCAACGACACCATCAAGAAGAGGAATGCAAAGCACAGTCTACAACAATAAAACAGAAATGAAATGGTTCATTTCTAATCTTAAATTAAATTCACAAGAGAAAAGAAAAAAAACAAGTGTTTATATATATGGTTTTAATTTAATCTGAACTTAGCGATGGGTTAGAAAGGAGATAAATACCTGTATACGAGCACTCTGTTGTAATTGTATGGCATTATCAATGTTGACAAACAGGAAGATACAGCTTAGTTAGTGCACTGAATTGCAGTAAAAATGCAAGTTAAGAACAAGAGACAGTACTCATTAACTAAGCTACAGTTCTGAAAATTATAACTCTGTTGCAGTGCATTATAACCCCTCCTGAAGTACATTCGCAAGAAACGAGGTGCTTCTTCATTAAAGGTGATCAAAAAGCCAGACAGAAAAAGATTTTATTAGCATATGCCATGACCCCTCCAAATTAATTCAAATACTATATACTAATTAATAATTAGTTGAAGACACTTGTACAATTAACAAAAGCATGTCTTTCTTTAATGAAAAAGGCAATACCATGATGATACCTTAGCAAGAATAGCTCTTGAAAAGGTTTTGCTGTCAACCTCATTTGCACCTGCGAGCCAGACATGCTGTCTCCTTGCATATGCCTTTCCTGGTAACCTACACAATAGATATCACCACCCATGTTTTATATATGTTCTTGAATATATATCACTGTTTAAAATCTTTGGATGCAATATATTATGCTATAGACATTGAGCGTATACTGATGTCTATAGCTGAGTTTTTTTTCATTCCAAATCACCAAGTTCACAGTTTTGCAGCGTGATATATCGAGTGGAGCATCCTTATCATTACTCAATATATTATATATACTATAGTACTGCTACCTAAAATTTCTTGTTCTAAGTAGAGAGACGAGCCTACTCGTCTACCTTCCTCCATTATTATAGATGGCCTCGAAGAATAAGGTGAGTAGATGATTTGGACGTAAAACATGGCTGTAAAAAGGATTGCAAGTCTAAAAGCTAGCTATTAGAGTTCATAGTAAATCTTATCTTGGAGAGTTTCGGAGCAAGGATTACTATGGTCGCTTAGGTGGGTTTCAAATTTTGAAGGGCAATGACATTTGGTTCTTTTTGCCGAAGTAGTATCTCCATAGTAGAAAAAAATTCGGTGACTGGGAACCAATATTTAACACCAATTCATTAGTCCTACTTTACCCATTTCAAGTGTTTTGACAGCAGTTTACCGAATATATTACTTGAGAGCGTACTGAGTAATTTTTCAGTGTTAAATTTGTCTTTTTGAAAGCGAGTTAATTTTCAGTATTAAACTGCAAAAAAAAACACATGAGAATCTCATCAGCCCCCCAAAAATGAAGAAGAAGACGATACGAAAGGCTCTTACCTAACCTATTGTAAAAGGCAACATTAGCCTGAATCAAATTCCGTAAAACCAAGGCTGGTGGATCAACTTAATTTCTTCAAATAACAAAATTCATCTGTAACTTTTAATTCTTCATGACCTTGGATGACATACTACTCTATATGAATCTACTACTTAAAAATTACTGCTGCCATAACGAATCCAAACAGTCTCATTTATGTAATTGCCTAATGACATACCATTCAGTAAACACAACCCCACAGCGACCGACGCATTTCTTACACTGAGTACCGAAAGTACTGAATAGGGAAGAAAGACTACTGCATTATTTTCTTTCCTCTCTTCAAATAGGAAAAAAGAATTGAATTGTGTGCTCAATATGATAATTGTCCTACCATCTCGGAATCGAAACTTTGAATTGTTTATAAAAGAGTTTTAAGACAAATAGAAGAGCATTTAATAGGCAGCATATAAGTTTATAAGTTTATAGAAGAGAATTGTTATAATTGTTTATAAAATTTTCTGTCTATCGACAAAGAGTGTAAAACAAGAGAGATCGTCATTCATCCCAATTCCCACCTATAAGTTTTTTCTACTTTCACTTGCAGATTCGAGCGCTGAGGTTCACTAGAATAAGTAATTCACATTAAAGTTAACGGAAACAAGTGAAATGAATGGTAGAAAGTTGAAAAGGAGAGCACAAAAGTCAATTTGGCTATCAGCTAACTGGTTATGTGAAGAAAGCTACAATATGGGAGAACTTACCCTACTGCAGGAGGAAAAGAGAAGGAGACACACATCAAATAGAACCACTCCGTCTCAGTTAAGTCTTCTGGTGACAACGCTGCACATGGTCGCCGTGCTGGTTGGTTCGTCTCCCCGGCAGACAATGACTCGTACAGCTCTCTAAGCTGCTGGCTCCTTTGCAAAGAAGCTTCCTCCGCACTAACCTCCATTGGTTGCACTGTCTTTCTTGTCTTAATTGCTCCATTGTAGTATCCGTCTGACCATATTAAGATCCTATTAAAACACAATCAAATTGATCATTATGACACAATTTTCACGAATATAAAGCCGGACACTGAGTTAATTGTATATTTCAGAATTAGTATAAGAAGAAAGAGATGGAGCTATTGGTTCTTGTGAAGGAAAAAAGTTTACCCTTGCTGGGGACAAATTTGCCAGAAAAGACTGTACGTCCATTGAACTGATTGCACCGCCGTCTGCAACATATTCTGAAGCCTACTACTAGGCGGCGCTGCCATTCCTTCCAACTTTACTCTCTCTCTCTCTCTCTATCTCAAATATTATTCACTTGACTTTCAAATCTGAGCCTGAATATTATTGTCAGAAAGGAGAAAAAAATCCCTTTGGAGATACTAAGATTAGTAAAGAGAGAAAAAACAGAAGAATCATCAATCATTCTATCATGATCTCCAGCTGAAAATCAAAAAACCCTTTAGTCCCCAACTGCTAAAACTCCAAAAAGAAGAAGGGTAGACAGAGAAGTCCGAGGAAGGAAGAGAAGGTATATAGCAGAAGAAGAGACCAACAGGTGAGAGAAAAAGAGATCAGACGGAGACAAATTTAAAAGGTAGATGACTTTGAGGAGAGATTTGTTTTAGTTGCCCAAGAAATGACCCGCACTTCCTAATTAGATGAAATCGAAAAGGAAAAATTGAAGGGTCGTTAGCTTAGAGATCGATCAGTATAAACTTAAAAGAAAGAAAATTTGAAGTAATAATAGTAGTAGTAGTTTAGGGTTCGTAAGTGCGAGAGAGTAGTTATCGTTGTGGTATGAGAAATGATGAGATTTGACTGGTCGGTCTACCAGACAGTTTGATGAAACCTGACAAAGGCTTCGGTGTGAGCGTAGATTTTGTTAGTTGCGTGGTCTCGCCCTCCGCTTACTTGCGTGCGTGCATTGTTCACTGTTTACATCATCCATAGAAAGAGTGTGCGGTTTGATTAGGTGGCGTAGACTGGGCGTTGGGGGAACTGTTCATTCATCTTCAGAGTCAAAATCAAATTCATTATGGGTGTGAAACTACTTTCACTTCTACTATTAATAATTGCAGGAAAAAGAAGGAAAAAACTCATTTTTTTCACATAACCCATTTTCATCGCCTGGCTCCTGAATTTTGCTTTTGCTTTTATTACAGTTAGTTTTCTCTTTTTAAATTAAAAAGTACTAGTATAATTTTTTTCTTAATTTCCTGTAAATTTGAATAATTCTTATTATTATTATTTTTTTACAAATGAGGTTACAACTTTAAAAAGTTATATGTGTTGAGATTCTAATTTTAAATTTAATAAATATTATATTTTAAATATGATTCCATAAATTTCTCAATTTTTAGAATTTTTTAAGTCAAATTTAGTATTTTTCTTGTTACTTGTTACTTTTACTTAATTTGTCATATAATGTTGAAAAAAAAAAGAATAAATCAAATGGTACTTATAATTTAATAAAATTAATTTCAAAACAAATGAAAAGATAAACATTTTGAAAAACTAATCAAAGTTTTACTGGCCAAAAAAATCGAAGTTTTTGTTTTTCATTTTAAAGTTAGGTTTACTTTGAGATTATTAATAATGATTGAAAAGTGTAAAAAAATTTATTAAAGAATCATGATTAAAAGCTGTGATTTCTATAAGAATTAATATTTACATATAATGTGCATTGAGTTATAAAATGAGGGAAACTAATTAAACAAAGAGTGATTTTTTTTCCCCAACCCACTTTTTATATAAGGTAACATCAAAGAATTTCTCCCCCATTCTTTTATTTTTACTAATTTGAAGACCGACTTTCTATGCCAAAAAAAAAAAAATGTTTTTCTTACAAAATTAAGCTTTGTTTAGAACTGTATAATATGTTGAGGTTAGATTTTAGACTAAAAAGCTGGCTTTCAACACATTACCCAATAAATTTAACACCTAATGACACATTAAATCAAGACAATGAAACTACACTATTAGTTTAACTTTTCTTTTTTATCTGACTTTTTCCCTAATTTTTTATTTTTCTTTAACAAATTTTCTACAATACCCAAGTATTAATTTTTAGATTTGATATTACACGCACGTAATTTCTATCATTTGAGTAGAATCATTTTTATCTGTTCCATGTTGAAGATTTTTAAAGAGAATTTATCATCTCTACTTAAATTTTATTATCAAAATTAGTAAGATAATACATATATCTTAATGTATATTAAAAAAATAACGTATGTGTTAGTTTATTAACTCACTTATAAAATTAAAAAATTTTCAATCTCAATGTATGAAAAAAAATTTTTAATTAAATATGCGTTCGTATTTTTTATCAAAATATATAGAATAATAAGCTAGGTACAATACAATACTATATATATTCATCAACAAAATTAAGAGAAAAACCAGGCCAATTGGTAGAAAGAACATGACACAATACAATTAAGGGAAAATTAATAATAAGAGTTATCTTTATAAATCAGCATGCATGCCTTTTATGATTATGGCATGCTAAGTATGTAGTGCAGCTAAGTTATACGTACAAAGATTATATGATATTAATGAAAAAAAATAAATCTTATTTTTAGATGCTATCTGTATATCTATAACTGCAAAATGTTTGGCATCAGTTATAGATTCTATTTTGGTCGATGGCTTTGTTTCATGGGAAATGAAGTACTTTAGAAGTTACTTTTCCAAATTTTTCTTTTTCTTTTTATTTTGTTACTTACGAAATTTTCACAAGTTTTCCAATAAAAATTGATAGATAAAACAAAAATATAGTCAATGAAAAATAATTGAGTTTCAATCAGATCAAGAAAATTTTCTTCTTTATTAAAACCACAGAATTTGCTTGAAAATAAAAAAAAATTTATTTTAATTTCTAGCATGCTAATGTATTCAAGCCCTAAATGATTAAACCATCATAATCATATATATATATATATATATTATATTACAACATACATAATTATCAAATAATAAATATTGACATAAACACTTACGTAGATAATTTTTTTTAACACGTAAAACAATTCTTAAAACTTTTTTATTATGATGGCACATAAGATATTTATTAATTTTAAATTATTTATAAAAATAAATTTTAAAAATTATTAAATTATCTAAAATTTTAAAATTTAATAAAAAATCAATTTAAGTTTTAGTGAAATTTCTTTCTCCTATACAACATCTCATTTCAATTTAAAATTAATTTTAAAGTTTATCGTATATTATTTATTGTATATTTTAAATTTTGTTAATTTTTTAGTTAAAAGTTTTATTTTTAATTATGATTTGATATTTTAATTATATTATTTATATTTTACATATATTTTGAATATGTAAATAATTCAATAATACTAATTTATATTTTTATTTAAATTTAAATAAAATAAAAATAATTCGTGCATTGCAAATAGCAAGTTAGTCTACAAAAACATCAAAATTCTTTATTCCCTTTCATATATATATATATATATATTTATATATAATATTCTCTTCTCACCCAGCTCATTTGACTCTGCTGGAATGGTAGATCGGATTTTGAACCCACCTTCTTCACATTCATATTAATATTAATACACTTTAAAATGAATCAACCCAATTTGTACATATTCATCATTCTTGCAAGAAAACAATGTTACAACTTACGTAGACATATTTGCAAACAATTGGTCATTTTCTTCACTTTATGTTAAAGTTAATACATTTTTTAAAAAGAAAAACCTATACACACTTATTTAATACATTCATGTCAACTACTCATATAATATATATAAATTTTTTAAATTTTATTATAATTCATAAAAAATGGTAATACTTATCACTTAAATTCCTAAAATAAATAATACACGCGTAAATATTAATATATGATATAAATGCCTATAGTACTGTCGTTTTTGAGAATGACCGGCCGATGCCTCAACACTCAAGCTATCCCTAAAAGCAATAAATAAAATAAAGTTAATTAGAAAAACGAGCGCATTTGACTTTGGTGGAATTACAGATTGGACTTTCAGCCTACCTTCTTTACGTTTATATTACTTTGAACCTACCTTGTTTACATTTATATTATTTTCTTCCGTCCCAAAATTATTATTTTTAATAAAATTTTAAAATTAAAAATAAATTTTATAAACTTTAAATTTCAAAAATTTTAAAACATATTTTTAAAATTTTAATTCAACAAAATATTTTAAAAAATGAAGATAAAATTGAGTTACTTTAACCAAAAAAAAAAAAAATCAACAAAAGTAATTATTTTGAGACAGAGAAACTAATTAATATTAATAAACTTTTGTACATACATATATGTCATTCAAGAAAACAATATTAGAGTTACATCTTACATTTTTTTTTGTGAAAAGAATTCAGAGATAGATAAGTTGTTTAATCTTAAAGTCAGAGCAAGATATATTATACCTGATAATCTAAAACAAATAGTTACAAGTCGTGCATTTGAAATGATTCTAACAAGTGATCACCAATAAGATTTGAACCTAAAATTTTTTTTATCGAGAATGACGAATATAATAGATTAAATCAATCACTTATTGATTACATCTTACGTATAATTGCAAAGAATGGTCTCAATCATAATCGGGCCTTGTGTCAAATTATAATTTTGTTTTACAATTTTTATAAAATCAGATGATATATAGAAGGATGGCCACCTAATTAATTAACTCCAAAATCTATACGTGAGACTTATTTGATTTGGAATGATTATCTGAAGTAACATCTATATTATTAATAAAAAGAATATGATTGAGTTTGACGTCGCCGAGTCAAGGAAAATCTTAGACAACGTTTTAACTCATCATGTAATGATTAGGCTAATATATATATATATATATATATATATATATACACTAAATAAACCTTCAACTTTTTACTGTTCCTAAATAAGTTGTCCATATTGTACTATTTTACTTAGATATAATTAATGCGTACCTGTATAGATTTTTATGTTGGTAGAAGGATGACATAAGAATTCCTCAAAAAATATTGAAGAAACTAAAGTTTGTAATTGGTATACTTAATTATAAACTCTAAAAATCATAATTAATGTTCAATATTTGTTAAATTTGTTAATGAAATGTGAGATGGGTATTGAGCAAGTTAAATTTTTTTATCTTCTATATGTATATATATATATATATATATATATTTTACAGTACTTAATGATACTTGAAAATTTGTTCATATTAAGAATAGTATTATTCTCAACAAATTTAAAATTTACCATGTTGGTTAGTAGGAATTGAACGTCAAAAATCAACATTTATATTAACAAAGTATGAATTAGAAACAACTTAATCGCTATATACTACCATGCATAGTGTATGTTATAAGTCAGCCTTCAATTTGATAATGAACATTAAGGTTTGTTGTTGCATGTGCATGCATCAACTTTAAACGATAAGAGTGGTGATTAATTAAATGTCTCTTTCGATTCAGCATGCATTATTATTGGCAGCGATTTGTCTCTGTGCGGGCACTGTCGACTAACCTTTTAGACAAGTAATATAGCTCTTAAATGCAGAATGGAGGTGACCCTTTATTTTGCAAAAAATTTTTGGTTGTTTCTTTCACAGGTAGAAAAGTAGCAGCAGATGATAGGGCTAAAGCTGTATAGAAAGACATAGTCACCTAACAATAATATTGTACGGTAAACAGTCCGATCCAATTTTACCAAAATTCTGAAACTTCTAAGCTTTTCCTCATCATGCATGCTTTAAACGTCCTCTTCCAGGGACAAATTGGATTTGCAAGCTCTTACACAAAATAAAAATTAAAAAGAATCCAAAAGATCCTCTTGTCCTTGAGGTCAGCAATTGGTTAAAGCACTAAGGGTGGAGATAGAGTTTTGAGATTAGGGCCTTAGGGAGGGGCATCTTAAATGGTTCCGGTTAGATCCCTTGATGATCAAGTTAATTCGAATCACATCATTACAAAGATGATCATCAAATCAAGAAAACTAATAAAGCGGCAATTAAAAGCAATGTTTAGTGGGGCAGAATCCTGTGGCTGCTCATATAGAAGAATA